AGACATCAAGACCTCATACAAAATACGTATAAGCCACTTATGATCGTATTTTTTATTATAGAAATACTTATTCTTTTTCTTTAATATTTGGATTTAAATATTTAAAGTATTAGGCCCATATTTCAGGATAATTTTCCTAAAGAAATATGCGTTAATTTATGTAAAATATACTTGTTTTGACATTAGATCATTATTCACGGTTATATATTAATAGACTCGTTTTTTTGAACGTTCAGACTTTTAATTAATTATTCGAGATATGATTTTAGGCATAGGTAGGCCTATTTATAGAAATTTTATTTGAAATACACAGTAAAAATGGACACCTTTATATATTGGACGACCTTCTAAAATTGGACTCAAATTGAAACTAGTAGAGTGAAAAAAATGATGTTTTAATATTTTAAAGCGTTATTTAGACTTTAATACTGTAAGGAATGCATAATGAAGTATTCTAAAAGTACAAATTAAGTATTTTTATCGCAAAATGCAATAAAAATTACTTAAAGTTTGGTCTAGTTTTCATCTGGGGGACATCTTTCCAAAACTAGTGTCTAACTTAGACACTGGTTCTGGTGGTTTTGCTCTATATACACTAGTTATTTAGGTAAACATTTAATTCCAATAATCAAATTCTATAATGTAGGAATTCAAAATTGAATTTATCATTAATTTAAATTTCCTCGAAAGCCAAAAATCGATCCATAATTAATTCAATATTACATTTATTTTTTTAAAAAATATGATTAAATTCCAGCATAGAAGACAAGAAAAAACTTCATAAATTACAGACAAATTTCTCAAGTTTTAATTGCATTTTTTGTATAATAAAATATTCTAATTTAAATTTAAATTAAAAAAAATAATGATGACATTTTAACTAACGATCGTGATGAAAAGTTCGTTGAAGAGTTTAAGATTGATCGAATGCAACGTTGACATAAGATTCAGATGTAATCTTTTATCTGATTAGACCGATTTGAAAGGCCAGATATCACTATCTACATTCAAATCAACTTTATTGTTACGCATTATCGTATTTTTTTCTTTTTTACCTTATAAAATAACCGTAAAGAGCTAAAGCAAGACGTCTTTAGTGGATATCTTTCTTCACATGTTAATAAAGAATTATTATTATTGTAGGAGACTCTTGTTATAGGGGAGTACAATAGGATCTACATAACATAAAGGCTACAAAAATATATAACTACCTAGGCCCTATTAGCCTATATTTCGCGTCATTAATAATAGGCTTATTGTTTGTAGATGGCTAAACATAAGATGAAGAAGAACGACCGGAATGTTTTTCTTTTCTAAACTTAATTTTAAAACAGAGCAGTGACGGCCTTTAATATAAGATAACCTATTCTTAAAAACAGCGTAATTTCATATTCAATAGGCTATTGTAGTTTAAGATATGCTCTTCCCCATCTTTAATAAAGAGACCTGTCAGAAAGTGACCGTTTCTTAAGTCGGTTTCTGGTGGTGGTAATGCTGTAGATTACGTTGTATTTTCTTAGATATATTAAAGAAATTAAGAATTAAACTTGGTTTTAACTCAATGAACGAGTTACCTTCTAACTCTTTCACTCCCATTTCTAGATCCTCAGCGTAGGACTCCATAGGCCTACTAATGAGAGCAATGGGAAACGGACAATGAGCCAAGTAAACACTCGGGTTTTGTAGAATTGTTTTTCACAGTTTGCGTTTCCAGAAATCGATCCAAATATTGAATTAAGATTGTTCGTTTTGGCCTCAGGCAGTGGTCAAGATGGGCATCACTCGGATCCACGAGTCGATGCCTTCATGCAGGTAAAGTCGGCCGGAAAGACCATTTAGGAGTAGAAAAGGAAGGCGGCGTCATTAGGCCACTGTGACCATTAATTCATTTTTACGGGATTTCTCCCCGTTCGTAACACAAAGGTGGGTGATGTATTTGGAGACAGTAATTTTCCTTTTGGCTCACAATGACCCATTGTCAGCGAGGTATGATACCTGGGTGCAGACGACTCACCTGGCCAGTCGCTAACGGACTCAAAAACTGTTAAGTCTAGAAGCAGCAACCTTTACTGCCATCCCTTTTGTGTCTTAAAGCCGTAAAAAAGCGGGACCTCGGGGCGAATAACAGAAAAAAGCGGGACCTTTAGAGGGGGGAAGCAGGCCGGACGGTAGATCCCCTCCATTCAGTTCCGACAGCCGTCCAAAAATCATCGATTCTTTTGTGAATCTCGGATACGAATTTTATGATCCTGACGTGTAACTTAGACGGGCAAACTGGAGCCCGCTCCTAATTAACGGGCGACATTAATGGCCACGCCGATCTCTTATGGTGACAGCTTGCGACTCCCGCTACTCGCGTTGACGTCGGGGGACTCATTCACACGTCCGTCACCAACGTGACGGTGCGTGACGGAAGGGTGGCCCGACCGAGTTCGAACACTTCCGGTGACAAACGTTGAATGCTCTGCTGATCACGCTCAATATTAAAGAGCCTCTTCTTTCAACTGCTTACAATCGGAAAAGTGCTCATGTTGGCGGAACACCGAAAGGTGGTGACAAGTCTAAAAGCTTGGCAATTGACAGTCGAAAGGAGCAAAAGACTTCAAGTTTCTTGACTTGCCCTCTGACCTCAACCTGATACTACTATTAACATTTCAACAAGTTAAAGTCGTATTCGCATTGCCTACTCCCACTTTAACGTTTGAGCATCTTTGGTAAGATAATAACATTTTATCAAATAATAAAAACTACGTGGCGCCTAAATTTATACAATACAAGCCACGAATTAATCTCAAATTCTTTATGTAATTACACAAAGAATACGCGAGGTTGAGCATAATAATATTGTTTATTAAATAGAGCCATAAATATGCGTACCAAGTACTTTATGGACTTAAATGGAAGGATGAAACCTATAAAAATATAAAATATACTCTACGTGTAAGGACTAAATTTATATTTTCCAGTATGAGAACCGACCTTCCTGTTAACATAAAGTTCTATTAATATACCTCATCCACCAATAAAACCACTTGTTATCACACGGCCTTTACAAAAATATGAATAAAATTGCTATTATAAACAAACAAAAAGTTAAATTTCCGAAAATAAATCGATAAAAATATATTCTAAATCTTCCTCTACAACTGAAAATCGAGATTTTAAATTCCAAATTTAATTGTTAGCAATGTAATTTAAGCATTAAAAAAGTGCATTTATATAGAAACATTTTCTAATTTTTAACTTAATTTATAAATGAAGATGATAAAATTCTGCCTAAATTAGGTTCTGTAGGGAATTAATAGAATTTCTTGAAGGATTTTCTGTATTTGCCAATGATGCAAAAGAGCAAACTCTGCCCGCAGATGCCCTACAAAATTCAGATAAGAAGCGTTGGCACCTGAAACCTAAGGTGGTGCCAGAGACCTAAAACAAGCAGAGTTTCACATTACACAATTAATGAGTTCGAGTAAATAGAAAAGAACTACCGAGTGAAACTCCAGATGTGCATCCATCCAATACTCCAAATTCTGAGAATGGGATCGAACTCTTTTTAACCGAATAAGATTAATTATCGAGGGATTAATGCACTATTTTTGGGTTCCTTCTTTACATAGAAATCGTTTTCTTACGTCAATCCTAGATCGAATCGCTTGATATTTTGAAGAAATTCGAGCATTCATCAACTGTTTTTCACTTCGTCTCGGGGGGTTGGCCCAGCAGCGAGTGATTGAGCATCACGTTTAATCCCGTGAAACGGATTTCAAAAATAGGATTAAACTAAAAGAAATTTCGAAAGCGTGACGATTGTTAATTTCGTTCCAGATCAAAATTCCACGTTTACGATCCTTTGCAAATGGATAAATATGATTTGTTTGATCCTAAATAGGAGGTGAAGGAAAGCGACAAATATGTCCTTCAGCTATATAATATGTTGTCAAATCAATAATTAGTTGGCTTCTTATGAAATTCGCTTTCGGCCTGTTGCATTAAATCTACTTTCATACCAAGGCAAATTCTGTGTTCTGTTGCTTACTATATACATAATTATTTGTTTTTTAAGCATAAAATCTTCTTTAAAAACCGTAAATTTATGTTTTATGCCCGTTAAAGAGTGAGTAATTTTAATATAAAAGCATTAATCTGAGCGCATTTCATTACATCGCTCGCCATGATACGTCAAGTTTTTCTATTTTTTTTAACCAAAATTTATAATTTTTTCCTATTTTTAAGCGAGAAAATAAATTAAATAAACTATTAATGCAAACTTTTACTCGTAAATAACGGTCTTAACCTATATATTTCATCATTAGAACGAGAAGTTTTTAAATTCCCGTGCTTCAAGATTACTTTTTCAAGAACCCAATCCTTTAACTTGTTTTTTTTTTGCAGCATATATTTCTCTCCCCCCACAAACACAGAATCTCGTGTGTAAGCGCCATCTACTCGCAACATGCTTAACTAAAATAACACACACTATCTTCACATAGAAGCCAAAAATAGAAACATAATCGGAGAGTTTTTTCCGCAGAGGCAACCAGATTCTATTTCAAGATGTATATCAATTACAACCATCAAAAATAGGAGCTATTTCTGATCTCTTCTTTACAGCTTATCAGAGGATGTAGTCGAAGGATGTTTTTCAATTTCAATTTGTTATTTCTCTAACAGAATCGTATTAAAAGATCATCTGTAGCGAGAGAGAGAGAGAGAGAGAAAGAGAGATACTAGAGCAAACAATACCGAGAAATAACAATATTGTTTTATTATTTCTCCCGTATTGTTTTATTATTTCTCCGTTCGACAATGGAGATTTTTCTAGTCGATATTTCTTTAATCGAATCGAAAATTAGCATTTGTAATCTGTGATTTACCGTCAAAGGTCGTTTTCCAACCTTCGACAAACAGGAAGCGGCTTTAAGATAAGAAAACATCAGGTTTTACTTTGAAAATGCGAACTTTAAGCCGCTAAAAATGCTTAAAAGATAAAAAACACTCACCTTATAATGTGAAGAGATTTGGTAGTCGGAGGATCCGTAAAAGGCCAAGTTGTGTTCTAGCAGAGCCATAAGTCTGCTTGTGTTTTCTCGCCTCCAATGGCTCCGTAAAGCGTTTAGCGCTTCGACTCGAGTGTCCACCGTCCGTCCGTTGCTACGAACTACCCGCCTTCTAATTCGGACTGGTGTCCAATCGTATCCGTGGCGCCATCTTCTGACAATCAATTTAATCACTGTTCAGTACTTAACACGTTCATTTTAATTTAATTTCATATCAAATGACCTAATATATTTAGCGCACTGTCCGAATGCTCTCAATTCTCCAATTAATGTTTTAACAAAGCTATTGTTTAAACGTTGTTAATTCTTTTTCTAATTATTAAAATTTTAAATAATAATAATAAATAAATGAATTATTAAAAAAAAACTAACTTATTCTTAAAGAAATAACAAAGTTTGCCTCTTGCAAACATTTTAAATAATGCAAGATTAAAGATCACCCGAGTGAAAGGTATCCGGAATAATTACAAATCTCACTCGAAAAATACACGATTAAGATTAATAAAACATCATTTATTAAAAGAAAATTTAATTTATTTTTACATAAATTCTAAATTTTTTGCCTCTTATTTGTCTGAAACAAGAGCCAAATGATTCTCATCCTCTCTATCTGAGCCTGAATGGAAATAATTATAATAAATTATTTTGTCTTTTGAACTCTATATAGTGTAAATACACGAACACTTGGCAATCTTCACCTTAAGTTTATTCAGTTTTTNCAAGGCAACGCGTATGTCATGTTGAACATCTAATCGATTTTGACTATTTGTTTTCATTGTTACAAGTGTTGAAAATTTCGATTTGCAATGATATATTACAAATAATTATAATAAATTATTTTGTCTTTTGAACACTATATAGTGTAAATACACGAACACTTGGCAATCTTCACCTTAAGTTTATTCAGTTTTTAGTTGATACACGTACCTATTTTTTATACACGTTTAGGGCTTACTCTGGTCCCTTCTCAGCCAACTAAAATTATATAATACATACGAATTACAATATTAATATACATATATAAAACTTTTTTTTGTTAATAAATTTGATTTACAATATTTTAAGCCAATTTTAATTTATTTTTACACTTAAAGTAGGTATGAATGTATGTCTCTTTAATCCGACAAATTAAGTTCGGTAGATTATCAATACAGCTTTCAGGTTAGACACTTCTTTTATTATGCATTTCAGTCTTATATAAATGCTAAGCCCCTTTTCAGTGCAATACTACAAATTATTAAAAAAAAACAACAGTTAGTGATTTGACAAAATTTCTCTCGTGTAGGTCATATTTACTGACATAAAACTATCATACTTAAAAATTGTCATATTTATACATACGGAAAACCTAATATATTAATATTATTTTTTAATAATTTTTTCTCATAACATATTCCAATAAAACAACAATGTAATACAATACATACCTACTTTTAACACGTGCTCATAAAATCTTATATAAGTACAACTTTATATTTAAAGAATTTATATTTTCTACAACATAACGTTGCAGTAACTGTAATTATAATCATGTTTTTTTACTGGTTAATTACATGCATTATACTTCGGTGCTAGTTTATAGTTTATTTCTTTAATTTCTTCGTACAGTCCTTTTAAATATGGGAATGCAGTATACTTTACTATTGATTTTTTTTACTATTTTAAATGTATTTTCTTTAACATGTAATGGTATATTAGAATGGTACTTTATAGTTGTTTTTACTGAACCAGGTTTCTTGAAAGGTTTAAATTCTGTTTTTTTTTTTTTTTCTCTCTTTATGATAATATCTAAATAACTTAATTCATGATCGATTTTTTTCTTCTTCTTCTATGTCAAATTTTAATGCTTCTTGTATATTATTTATTTGCTTATTAATTCCTTTTATTGTAGTTTCTATTTAATTATATATTATTAGGATATCATCAACATATCTTTTGTAAAACTTTATCCCTTTAATCTTACTAATTCTTTCATCTATTTCTATCATTATTAATTCTGCCTATTACAGATCCCATACTTATTCCTTCTTGTTGTGTATAATAATCTTCTCCAATTTGAAAATAATTACTTCTATAAGTGAATTCTATTAAATCTAATATTTCGTCTTTCACTTTAAGTTATTGTAATGTATTTTCTATTATTTTCCATGTTAGAGTTTCTTTTATTATTTGCGAGTGGCCTTTATTTCTCCTTTCTAATGTCATGTTTACACGTTAAAAGTTCCTATTTTATTATAGAAAATATGAATGATATTAACCCCTGACAATGCGTTGTCCCTGTAAAATAGCTGAAATGTCAGGAAAAGAGACACCATTTTGATTTTCTCTTAGTTTAAGTTCGATTAATTTATTAAAATTGCAATTTAATTTCGATAATTCTTATCCTTACTTCTTAAGAAAAGGACTTTAATTCAGTTTTAATACACTTTGATAGTGTATTAAAATTAATAAAATGCAATTTTCTTTGTCTCTCTTTCTCCTGATTTTATGTAAATTAAAGTTTATAGAGTTAAAAATTGCAAGAAAACACATTTAATTGGATTAATTACTTATCGAATTACTTGAATGAAGAAGACGAGAATCATCATTATTTTCTAATGATAAAACAAAATAAAATTTCGTAATAGTACATAATTATGAGCCATCTTTAGCTTAATTCGTACAATTTTCGAAAATATTAAAATTTAATTGTCAAATCAAACATTTAAATGTAAGAAAATATAAAATAAGTTGCAAAAGGAAGAGTGCATCTGATACTTCCGCCATGTTGGATTAACTAGCGAAAGCGCTCACGCGTCAGATGAAACTATTATACAGAATTAATGTAAAATAATAATCCATTTTATGAATAAATGTAACTTCATTATCTTAAAAATTGTTAGTTGATATCTAAATCCTGTACAACAAGTTGGATTGGAGGTTATTTTTCTAATATTGGCACCTCCAACTTGTTAAGTTTTCCTTGCGGCACCCCTACTTTCTTATCATGAGGCGCAGAAGGAATATGTCCTTCTGCAACTTCGATACCATACAGGTACACTATTTACTGATTTATCCCCAATTTACCGGTACAATCTCCTTTTCAACGTATTTTTTTTTTGTATTGTGCGGTACATCGGTTGAAAACCACTTGTATATTGCAACGCAACACGGGTGATCAGTCAAATGAGATGAGATGAGATATATTTCAAAATTTTGACGGTCAGCTCAGCTCGATTTGAGTTCTCAATTGCTCAATGCTCAAGTATTTTTTTTTATTTATTTAAATGCCCTCTTTTTAATAACAGATCCATCAATACAGCGTATACATTATTATTAATTTCAAAAATAGGCTTTACTGCAACACTCTCCAGCTTAGCACGGCTCTCAACTCCTGTTCAAATTCACAGTTCATCTCGCAGCTCGCCTGTCAAGACCACAGCTCAGTTCGGTATATCCAAATGTTTAAGCTGAGCTAGATTTGCCTAACTCCATGTTTGTCCAGCACGTTGGTGAAGCATGAATCCGCTTCCAGTATTCAGTGGTTGTATCCACTGATGGGTGCAGGAAATTGAAAAGCCAATATTGACATTTTTGGAACTCGTTCATTTACAATTTTACTTAGGTAAGACAGATCATATTTCAAATTAGCTTTCAATTTAATGCCGGGCTGGAAATTTTTGTCACAAGGCTTTCAATTATGTTAATTGCCGATTCTAGAAATTCCTCGGCAGTCTTTCGCGATCCACTTCTCAATCATGATTCTAGAGCCGCCTTTTCTTGTTAAAGTACTGTGTACAGTTCCGATTCTAATCTGCAGCGTTACTCTCTTCATTCTCCCCCTTTTAGAATCCTCAAAACCTGACTCTTCTCAACCAGAATCTTCCGCACACTTCCCTTCACCCTCGGGGAGATTTTCGAGACTAATGACTCTTCTACTTACAAGGGGAGGGCCAGACGTTCTGTCTCCTATTTGAACGAAACTTAACTGTGGTGTGGTATTTGACAAGGCAACGCGTATGTCATGTTGAACATCTAATCGATTTTGACTATTTGTTTTCATTGTTACAAGTGTTGAAAATTTCGATTTGCAATGATATATTACATATTGCAAATGGAAACAAAGCTGCTGTAGCTAGTTTTACAAGATGAGGAAAGGCTTCTCTTTGGGAACACATTCTCCAAAACTCACTGCAGTTTGAGTTAAACTCAAACTGCAGTAAGTTTTTTGTCTTCAGATCAATAAGGTCCTCTTTGGTTAAGTCAGCATATGCGATACAGCTTAAAGAAAACGATTAAGGATCCATGGTTCAATTTTCGAGAAATGCAACGACTATAATCGATGGGATGATCGCGGCAGCTTAGCTTGTGTTATGGATTTTTAGAGGATCCAGAAACCGAAATTTGGATTTTCACAACAGTTGAAAGCTTCCGGTATTTCAGATGCCGGATAGTTAATGCGATAAATATCCCAACTCATCGCCTTAAAAATATAGAACCCGTGATTAGTATGATTAAATGTCTTCTTATACCCCGTTTGGGCACTTGTGCAGTTTAGGGGGTATGGCTGTTTGAAAGGTTTTCTTCCATTCTAGACTAATTTGACTCGAACATTTCCAAAACACGTATAATTTTTTGGGAATAATTCATATAAAATATGCTATAAACAAAAAATTGTAGGAATACTAACCGAGTGCTCATCGTTCGAAGACTCCATTGCTTAAGCTTGTTTTCGTCATCGGAGAGGCTCATAGCGTACGAAGCTTGTCACGTGACATTTGTCGGTGCTATTCGGTCATGTGACTACTCATTTCTGACGTGTTTTCTGATAAGTTAAGCTTAGTTCACACTGAGCGAATAGCGAAAGCGAATGCGAAAAGCGATTTTTATTCGCTTAGCGAAATTGACCCATACAACCAAAAGCGAAAAGCGATTGCGAATTTTAAGCAGCCAATCATTTGCAAGCAAACGAAAACGTCATCTCGAAAAGCAAAATGGCCGCTTCCGATATTCCGTCGTTAACCACATTTGTTTATTTATTGAGAAATAAAATTTTAAAAAAATTAAATTATTTAAAATTAAAAAAATAAAAATAAGTCAAAAAGAAAACAATGATGGGTGAGAGAAACATTAAAAATCCATAATTACAACATGTAATCTATTGCATGAGAACGTTTCTGTAGCCATCTTGAAAACAGCAAGAACCACGTGATAACTATCGGGAATATGATTGGTGCGAAATTTTTTCGCTAGCTAAAAAGATCGACAGTTCCGAACTTCGAAGCGATTCGCGAAATGGTAAAATTCGCCGGAAACGACGTCATGTCTGAGTCTGACGTGTTATTCGCTCTGTTTTTCGCTTTCGCTAGCGAATCGCGTTTAATATGAACTAAGCTTAAGTTATCAGGAAACACGTCAGAGATGAGTAGTCACGTGACAATCTTCGTACGCATCCGCCGTTCGATGAGCCACTCCGTGACAAAAACAAGCTTAAGCAATGGAGTCTTCGAACGATGCGCACTCGGTAAGTATTCCTACAATTTTTTGTTTATATCATATTTTATATGAATTATTTCCAAAAAATTATACGTGTTTTGGAAATGTTCGAGTCAAATTAGTCTAGAATCGATTAATTTTATGGAAGAAAACCTTTTTTCCCCTAAACTGCACAAGTGCCCCCGTTCGCACACAATTCACAGGCAATCCGCTTGAGAAGAACCGGGCTATTACACGCGATAATAAAACTGACGTAACTACGCGGTTGGTCACGAACACCAACAAACAAAATAGAAGTTTTGGTAAGAAATAAATACTTTTTATTGCCATATATCTAATAATAGATAGATGTCATCGTCTCTCCAGATGTCTTTTTTATTTCTCTGTTGATAGACCGACACGTGTTTCGCAGCCATCTTGTATTTTCTCGCGCGCGTGGGATTGTGGGATCTCTCTTATGACTAAATCACAGCCTACAATAAGAACAGCCTAGTCATTTGCTCTAAAAACGTGTGTCGATGCCTGAGGCGGTTTGCACATTTTGTTCACTAGGAGCGCTGATGACCGGACTATTCAATCAAGTGATCAATACTAATACTATTGCAAAGATGTGCTTGTTATGATAGTATTTTCGAAATTTTAAATTTTTAAAATCTATATATCCAGATATTGTTCAGTTTTAAAAAATTCGTTTTAAAATGGTTCATTGCTCTGCGATTTTGTACATCAAATAAATCGAAAAAAGATGAAATAGTAAATCTTTATCACAGAAAATAATAAAAGTGGCACCTCTATAAATTTTTGTATTATTTTGATAATTACTGTATATGCTATATTTAAAGAAGAAGACTAAATATAATAGATTAATTTTGGTAATACAAATTTGAATTGATTTTATATGTTAATTCATTAGGAACCAAGAGATAAATATCAGCTTATATTTTAATAAATATATAATTCAGTTGTACAAGTGATGTTTTATGCCAACATAGGAAGCTTTAAAAAGTGTGAGAATTTTTTAAAAGTTATTTAGTTTATTATATTTAAAAACAGTCATGGCTACAAGTGGATCAAAATATTTCATGATGCACCAGTTATGGCCAAAGGGGTGGCCAAAAATGATGTACTAGTTTTGGCCACCATGTGGATTCTTTCCATATGCATTATTAGGGCATTATACTTATATTAGGATTGTACTTTTTTCCAGTCAAATAAAAATAAATAGTTTTATAAGTAAGCTATACAACAATTTGCTGTGGCAGTAATATTTTTTCTATAAGTTAAGTCTGCTATGGATAAAATAATATCGATAATATAAAATAGACTTGATGAATATAAAACTACAAAATATTTTTTCTTGGTCATTTCACTAGTTTAAAAGCTAGAATAATATTCAGAGGTTATTGACTATATATTATTCTTTATGTCAATTATATCAAAAAATATTCTCAAAAAATAGTTTTAATAGTTTTACTTGCATTAGCCACAATTGGTACAGGCATGATTAAAACTGGTGATTTTTGTAATATTTAAAAAAATTTTAATTTTGTTTATAAAATGTTAAAATTAATAAAAATAAATGTAATAAGGTAAAAGAGAACATGTTTTTGCATTATTTTTACTATGTTTCATTGCTTTAAAAAATTTTAAGAATATAAAAATATTTTTTTAAATTGAAAATTGTCTTAATGTGACCAGAAAAAGGTACAGTACATCTACCCTATTAATTATTATTGCATTTAACCGTTTAGATAATTATTGATAATATGTCTATTGTTTTAGATAGATCTGCAGAAATCCGGGCAAAATCTTAATTTAAAAAAAATCAATAATTTGCTATATCCTAAGTTTGAATTACTGTTTTGTTTTACGAATATATGATAGCATGTAGCTAGGATAACTTAATCAGTGTGTGTTGTTATGGTCCGTTGTGTGGCTCCATCTTGCGAGAGAAAATATTTTCGTTTGGACACAACACTACAATGGGATTTCCCCCATTTGACTAGGCTGTTCTTATTGTAGGCTGTG